TTCCACATCTTGTCTCATACCTATCCAGTAAAATCTGTGTCGTAGGTGACTCAATGTTTTCTTAACTCCGAGATGTCCTCCTGTTAAAGTATCGTGGGATTGACGCAACACAACTTCCCATAACTTTCTCGGTATAACCGTTTGCTAAGTCGTCAATTTCCCGTCTGCAGTTTCCCATCCCTGGAGAAGAATACCATCTTCAAGTCTCAACTGGTCCCATTGTGCCCAATAGTTCTTTGTCACTCAATGTCTTCTTAACTCTCATGTTAAACTATCATGGAATTGACGCAGCACAACTTCCCGTAACTTTCTCGGTATAACTGTTTGCCAGGTTGTCACTTTCCCATCTCTGGAGACGAATACCATCTTCAAGCTTCAACTGGTCCCATTGTGCCCAATAGGTCTTTGTCACAGGGCTTAATCTAGACATATTCTCCCAAGCAGGGAGATGATACTATACGATTGAACGTAAAATACATCGACTTTGTTAGGACCCTTCCAAATATATACGTAAAGCACTCCATTTCTCATCATCAGGAAAATAGATTGACCACGTGACCTGTCAAGTGATTGCTGAAGCCTTATAAATGCACAGATATAGTCATACCACGGTTATTCTGCAATGAACAGGAATCTATCTAGCTTTCAAAAGATCATGATAATAGGTATCCAACTAGTAGACACGTTTTTATCAAATGCCGTTTCTTTGACCAGTTGTTCAAAGGCATTTGTCATCAATGTCTATCAGCAAAGATTAATAAATAATCATGGGAAAATATAACAGGGCAAGCTTGTGAAATTCACAGTTGAAATATACAACTGGAAAAAAGGAATTAAAAAGCTAAAAACACTATATTTTATGACATTTTACCATTATAAAGCATTACACAGAATAGGCTTAGGACACAATCGAAATTCTAGGTTTTTGTTTTCAATTTCTGACGAATTATAGTCGAAGAATTATAATTCTCCCAAGGATTGGATATCAGGAAATCAAACCCCTATTCACATATACGTAATCTGTTGATAAAGAAACGGCTTTCGACGACTGTTCTTGTTGTATAACGTACTCTAGTTATCTGTGTTTGAATGTACTTTTATATTTTCAGAACTCGTCTTTATCTTGGTATGTTACAAAATACTTTTGTTTTCTATTTAATAAAACATACCAGTATCAAGAAGCTTTATGGTACGGTTCGCAACAGTCTTGTTTTGTTTGTTTTAAAGTACAAACATATACACAATGGGCTATCTACACTATGCCCACCATGAAACTTGATTTCTAGCATTATAATCCCACTGATTTACTGCTGAGCCACCGGGGAGGTGAGGCTTACAACAGTCAAGTTATATAATCAGGAAATTCATTTGAATGGAAGTTAAATTATATAAAGCTGCCTTTAATGAAGAACCTAGATGCTTCCATTTTATTCAGCAGAAATCTCTTGAAATATTTTCGTCGCTATTTGTACATGAAAGTTAGTTAACTTCATAGCTTTGACTTTAAGTAAATTTTGGCTATGCATGTAATTTTGAAGTATATATATATATATATATATATGAACATGATAATTTTACTATTCTAAGGATATATTAAGTCCTCAACTTAAATAAAATGTTTGGTTAGTACTTGTTGTTGTTAAGCACAAAGTTACACAATGAGCTATCTGTGCTCTGCCCACCACAGGAATCAAAACCCGTTTTTTGGAGACGTAAATCTGCAGACTTACCGCTGAATCACTGAGGGGCAAATAATTTTTTTATTAAGAATGAGAAGTAACGTGAAATATTAAACTACCTCATCCATCTCTAACTGTGCATTAAAAAAAACTCTTGTTGGGCCTTAAGTTTTCAAAATTATTGTGTTTTTAACTTTTGTACAATAAAATTCTGAGCGATAACAACACGCTTTGCTAGCATATGATAATGGAATCTAAAAAACTCCTGGTGTCACCATCTAAGATATCAACTTGTCATCAATATACATGGAATCGTTTCGTAGCACCAAAACTTTTTTTTTTGCTTAAGCCAATGACGCCACTAGAGTCTATGAATCTTAATCCTTTCACATTCGGTCTGAGATAGAGGGTGCCAAACGCCTAGCGACTGTGATGTTATCATATAAACTGTTCCGAAGTTCGTGTAATGTAAGTACATATCAAAGCTAGCTACCTACTTAGAGAGAGAAACAAAAAATCAACCTGGTAAAGTGTATAACTAATTAAATATACTTTTCTGACGTTCTTACTTATAAAATATAGAATGCATTGCTTCAGATACCCTCGATAATAACGATATTTTCGACCGTAATCCTAATAATACTTCACGAGGTTCGGCTAACTTAGGAGATTTAGGTTAGTCATGAATACATATATTAAATAAACAAAGCAAAACAAAACAATCTCTATAACAATAATATAATAAAAATTAGATATATTAGAAATTCTAACCAACTCTGTTAATGAAAGTATGTATAGCATTGCTAGAGTGACACGTTACCTTCGGAATCAGAGCCAAAACTCTTAGTCGAAACACCAGAGTCGGAGTTGTGAGTTGAGACATCAAGTGTCAAGTTTCGGGCAGAATTCTCAGAACCATATTCGATCTTCTGTCGTCTTTCAGCTGCTAAAATATCTTCAAGTTCACGGCTGCTAAATGTTTTGTACTGAAAAAAAAAGTAACATATACACCTATGTTTTTTTTTGTCAAAATCAAACAACATACATCTTGAAGAACGTTTTAAATTCAGAAACTGCCGAATGTTGTAAATCAAATAGGTTTATTTGCTTGTTTGTTAGTTTTTGAATTTCGCGCAAAGCTACACGAGGGAAGACAGCTAGTCATCACCACCCACCGCCAACTCTTAGGCTACTCTTTTACTAACAAATAGTGGGATTGCTCGTCACATTATAACGCCCCCACAGCAGAAAGGGCGAGTATGTTTGGTGGGACAGGGATTCGAACCCGCGACCCCACAAATTGCGAGTCGAGCGCCCTAACCACCTGGCCATGGTGGCCCAAA